GGAGTGTATGATTGTGCCAAGGATATCCAAGACTGAATATTGTGATGGAGAATACAGATAGCACGACGAGGTAAGCTGCCCTGATACCAAATCTAAGTTTCTTTAACCACTGATCAATAACTACTAGTACTTAGCAACTTAAAGGAGCAGTGTCACGAAATTTGTCAAAACTACAGCAGTGGAAACCACCACCAATCTCAGTGAAACATAAAAATACTGCTCAAAACATGAAAAGAAGTTTTAAGTAACAAAGCAAAGAGCAAGAGTGAGTACAAATAAAGATTTTTGTTAGTGTAAAAATGAGGAACAGATGGACAGACTTAAAGAAAATTGAAAAGGATGGCAATTGGTCCTTTTGAAACTTGTTAGCTTGACAGTTTTCCAGATTTCATTTTTCTGGTCTTCAATGTTTGATATAATGCTTGGGAGACATATGTTTGTTGACACAAAGCTGTGATTGATAAGTAATTTCTCAAGTTTCATAGCAAATGCGATATGGACATGTGTAAGTGTAATTACAGTTGATTTCACATGACCTTACTGCACCACATTGCAAAGTTCGCTGGCAAATTGGATAGTACTTTGCAGAGTAGCCAATACCATGGCGAGTTAGGGAATCAAATTGCGAATTTTGAGACGCAGTTGTCAACTTTGGTGCTACTGAACTTCATAACTTAATATACTGAGAAAGACAGTAACAAATTTCGTCAATCAATTTGTACATACAGGAAGGCCCTACACAGAGTTTTGTGAACGGCAAAGATCAAGTACAGTATGTATACTACGGAAATACAAAAACAGTTTGTCAAAAATGAGGTTATTGACCCGCAAAGGTTCAATAATAATATTGAACCTTTGCGGGTCAATTAGTCGTGTAGTGACACTCGATTTAGTTTACTCATACAAAAAGTTGACAATAGTTCCAAAGGAGTGCTTATAATATAATAATGCTTTACTGAGAATGCTCAAGAAAAACTTGAAGAATATTTAGATGTTTGCAGTAACTGTGATCCCAGGAATAGGGACTTTTTTGACAAGAACTCAGTGATTAATGCAACTGGGAAAAGAAGTTACTCTAGACCGGGAGTAGTCAATCGATAAAACTTGGTATCAATAAAAATTGATGGCAATCAAGTGATTTTTATCCATTGATGACGGAAATCGATAAACTAAATTGCTGTGTCAAATTGATATTATTGATTTTTCATGATTTTAACAATTTATAACAGTACTTCCAACATTTTTGTTTTCTGGCATAAGTACAGCTGAGAAAACCCATCCACAAGTAACAACTGATCAACAAACATGAAAATAAGAAATGTTGAAACTATTACAGACACAAGAGTCTCTCTAAAACCGTGACCCTTTTGTACATAATAACTGGAACGGTTCGGTTTTATAATTATTACATCAAAGGGATGCCCAAACTTCAGACTAAAAGATTTCTCTGGATAGCTTTTCACCGTTTTCCATTATCAATTGATAAAATCACTTGATCGCTAACGATTTTTATTGATTTAGTTTTTTATCTGTTGGCTACTCCGGGAAGTAACTACACACGGAACTGAGGTTATTTTGAATGGGCGGCAGAGCTACATTTTGAAAAACTGGGAAAAATAAAAAACGTGGCCAATACCGGCCATCCAAAGAAGACTTTAAAGCAGGTTTTAAAGAAAAGATAAGGTTTTTTAAAACTTTTTTTTTTAAAAGACTAGTGATAATAAATTGTTTGATCCTTCGAGTCTCAATTTTTGCAACTCAATTGTCAACAAATTCACTGTTTGCGTGAAATCAGTTTTCATTTTTGGATGAGCAGAAGAACAGATGTATCTTCTGATAAAAAGCGATGGAATCGGTAAAATCTAGATAAATCGATAAACTAAATGAGTGTGTTACAGATTCCTACCAATTGATCGATACAATCAATGTCAATCAAATCAGATTTTTACCAATTTTTATTGATTTATCGATTGATAAATTGATACCTATTTTTATCGATTGACTACTCCAGGTGTTGAGCAAACTTGTGAAGTTCAGTCGCGCCAAAGTCGACAACTACATCTCAAAGTTCGCAGTTGATTTCCTATAAACTCGCTACGTAATTTGGCTACTTCATGATGTGGTACCCAATTTCCAAATGAACTTTGTAATGTGGCATGGTAAATAGTGTGAAATCAACTGTCACAGAATGATACTAAAATTGTGACACAGCCCCTTTAAGTCTTCATCTCGGTGGACAGCAATACCAGCAGTGAAGTTAAACTGGTAAAACTACTTCTATTATCCTGTATTACGCTGCAGTTCCATGCAAGCATCATATTGACCAGTGGGGAGGGGGTATATGTTCTCTCAAATGAAATCCAAACAATGTTCCCACAACTTGCAAAGCAACCAGCAGATTTGTTTACTGATCATCCCTTATATAACCAAAGATCTGTGTTTTTGAGAAAAAAAAAACTAAAAAAGGGAAATTGAAGGTCAGACATTATTTCTCTTTATTATAGTTTGGTTACTCTCAAGTGTATTGATTTTACATGTAACTGTAGCTGTATATCGCTTTTCAGACATTTCCTGTCAAACAGTTTCCTCTGTAGAGTTTGAAATATGCAACACATTACTAATAATAGCCACCAAAGAGTTGAGCTGGAGTAGTGTTTTGAGGCAAACATAACATTGAATTTAAGGTGGCTAAACACAGTTTTGCGGGCAGTCAGCGGTAACTCGCGTGACGGCACATGTTTTAAATTAGACAAACCAACAAGGCAGCGAAAAAAGCAATGGTACACAAAAGATGATTTC